GACACTGCGACCTTGCTCTAGCACAAATAAAGGTATAGTTCTGACGAGAGTTTATACGAGGAATACAAAAACAAAACTGGCACAATAGGGATGGACATTCTAGATTATTGTGAAATAAATTATATAAAACTTTTATACTTGCTAGAACTCTACGAAACTCCAGAGAAGGAATATTGAATCTGTTAAGTAGAGTAGATTGGTTATAGCCTCTCTCCGGATAAAAGCCATCTATTTTGAGTGACATAAATTTCAAAAATTTCCTTTGTACATTTTCCAATGACAGCTTCAGATAGTTGTAACGTGGGTACCATACCAATGAACAATATTCAAGCTTAGATCTTACGTATGAGTTATACAGAGACTTAAATGCAATTTCATTTGAAAATAACTGACAGTTGCGCACGATACAGCCTAACATTTTTAAAGCAGATGAAGTAATATCATTTATATGTTTAGAGAAAGTAAGTTGTGAGTCAAACAAGACACCCAAGTCTTTTATGGAGTCCACCCTGTTAAGTACCTCAGAATTAATTTTGTAATGATATGTTACTGGATGCAATTTACGAGTGTAAGTTACGACCTTGCATTTCATTATATTTAATTCCAGACAATTACTAGTGCACCAGTCGTTTAATAAATCTAATTGGTCTTGTAACTTTTGACAATCCGCAATATCCGACACTTTGCCAAACAACTTTAAGTCATCAGCAAATAAAAGTTTTTCACAGCATATTTGAGATGTTAAATCGTTAATAAAATATAAAAAAAGTAGGGGTCCTAAATTAGACCCTTGAGGAACTCCAGAAGTGGCTGTGAAAATACTAGAATTGTGTCCAAAATACGTAACGTATTGCTTTCTATTCATAAGATATGACTCGAAAAGGTTGCATAAATTATAACTGAAACCGAGTGCACTCAATTTTTGTAAAAGAATTTTATGATCGACACGATCAAACGCCTTTGCAATGTCAGTGTAAATCACATCTACTTGCCCTCGTATATCAAGTTCATTGGATATGAATTGTGTAAGTTGACATAAGTTAGACACTGTAGATCGTCCACGCATGAAGCCATGCTGATCCCATGATATTAGAGTTTTTGTAGCAGGATAGATGCGATTATAAATCGCTATCTCGAATATTTTTGAGAAATTGCAAAGAATTGAAACCGGTCGATAATTCTTAACTTCGGTGTTATTACCACTCTTAAAGATCGGACATACTCTCGACAATTTCCATATTTCAGGAAACGTAGATGATTTTAATATTAAATTGTAAATAATAGAAAGTGGCTGTAAGAGAGCTCTTGCACAATCTTTCACAAGAAAAGCCGGTATCTTATCGTGACCCGATGTCATTTTGTCTTTTAAACTATTTATTGCCTCTAATATTTCTTCATCAGTTAAGCTCGTTATATACAAAGGCATTACATCATGGCTACATAATTGCTGAAAAGGATAATCCACGTTACTATTTGTCCCAGAATAAACACCACTGAAATAATCGGCGAAAGCGTTAACAATAGATTTAGGTGAGTCGAAAATATTTAAGTCATAGGTAACTGAGCTAGGTATTCTAGATGTGCCCTTTTTGTGTTGAATATAAGACCAGAATTTGGTAGGGTCACTTACTACTGCATTTTGTATGCTGTTGATATGGTTCTTGTAAGCAATATTTATTTGTCTTTTTATCAGAGACCTCAGCCGTTTAAACTCAAACAAAAAGTTTACATTCTTTTCCTTTTTACATTTTAATCGATATTTATTTTTCAACATGATATTGTTTTTTATCTCAGTGGTGTACCAAGAAGGAAATTTATTCTTGCGTTTAAAAGATAATAAAATATCTAAGAAACTATTTTTCTTTTCAAGAATTTGTAGTCATTTAACTATGCAATCTAGAGTTACAGTATACAATACTATAATTAGACCACATTTTGAGTACTGTCCATCAGTACTTAGTATGTTTAAATTGAATAAGATATCACAGTTGCAGAAGTTACAGAACCGAGCCATGAGAATTATATTAAGATGTAATAAATATACTCCCATTGATTTTATGCTATCTGCTCTTCAGTGGTTTTCTGTTAAAAATCGATTATACTACTGTACAATGGTTTTTATATATAAGCTTATAAATAATTTGTTACCTGATTATTTTAACCAGTATATTATAAGGAATCATGAAATTCATGACTACTTTACTAGAGGTGCCAATATCTTCCATGTTTGGAGAACAAATTATTGTCATACAATGAATTGTATATTTAATGAAGGGATTGTTAATTTCAATAGATTACCAGTAAAGTTAAAAAGATGCCAGTCACTTGTTGCATTTAAAAGAGAGCTTGTTAAATATATAAAAGTAAATAATATTTGTTAATTGATCCTTAGTATGTCTATCCTCTTACTGTGTGCTTGTATTTATATTTAAATTTAAATTGATTTGTGTATATTAGGATATCCTATTTAATAAACAATTATTATAATAAGGACCCATTTCAACTTTCTCTTAGTATTAGTGAGAAAATAAATAGCAAGTTGGAAATATATCATCCTATAAAAACGAATTCTTTGAATTTCGTTTAAGGAAGCCATTCCTTTTCATAAATACAGGTTTGTATGCAATAAGTATAAAATATTATGAAAATACAGGGTAAATCACAACTTATCCAAAAAAATTTGGGAATAGATGCGGCATGAGAAATGGAGTCAATATTGTAAAAAAATATTTTGTAAAATCTTTATAGTTTCTGAGAAAAAAAATTATTGAAGTTACAGAACATTAAACCACTACATAGCTGGACAACTGTAGTCTCCGTCGTTTAGGTAGTTTTTACCTGTTATCTGTGGTATTTACATCAGTTTTTTAGTAGTTAGTGTCAAAAATTGCTTGCGTGTATAGCAACTCAGAGTTGATGGATATCGTTTTAATTTATGGTGAAGCAAGACAACATTTGTATTATGGTGAAGTATTTGTGTTATGGTGAAGCAAGACATCATTTGTGTTAGTTCGTAGAAAGTGAGTAAGACGGACCCAAATGTGAGTGAGTGGATAAAATTTTGAACAATTGCTGTTGCAGCATCGGGTATGTCAAATGATTTTATTATTTAAAAACACAAATTAATTTTATTAATAATTAATAAAGGCAAAAGCATTTGAATTTGCCGATATAAAATAGGTGCGATAAAATTCTATATACATATTTCTTTCCTTGCGAAAGTTTTTGTCCGTTTTTATGACGCCGCCATACCGGTCGCATTGTGCGTGGTCAGGTTTTACAGTGGACCAGTTTCCAGTGCCGTGCAGAAGTGTATATTTAAATCAATTTCGAACTGACCTTTTTGATTTTTTCTTTACAAAATTGTATTTGTAAGGGTCCCCTGTACATCCAGAATTTTTTTTTGGATAAGTTCTGAATCACCCTGTATATTAGAATTTCTTTCTATGTATTTTAAAAATAAATTTACAGCTTTTTCTCTGATTGTTGTACTCATAGTGACACAATTTCTAATAGTGGAGTCAAGATAGATTTTGACTTCGCGAAAATTACTGGAAGAGAGAACTTTTTGTTTTTCTCTTTGTAAAGTTGTCAGAAAAATTATTTATTTAACAAATTAATTGCAAAATTACAGTTTTTGCAAAATATATAAAAAAATATAATTAAAAAAAATAACTGCGCCATTCGAAAGAACAGGAAATTTTACATAAAAAATGTTAATAAAGTTTTTTTCTAAAATGGGAATTGAATGCTGTAGAATTTTTTTTCTAACGTAGGAAAAATGAGACGGGCGACCCCCAAGTATAAACAATATTAGAAAAATTAAGAAGACAATGCAATATCCAAGACAAAATTATATACCTCGTTGTAATATGTAAATTTTTTATTTCTTGATATTGTGGGAAGCAACTAATCTGCATTGAATTACATCCCAACAGCTTATATAGCTAAAAAAATTAACGGTATGCAGTCTCATCCAAATATGTGCAGCTAAGATGACTATTCTTTATGCCTCATTTTATAAATGCATGAAACACAAGTATTGACGGAAAAAATCGTAATGAATTTAATTTTCTATTAGTCAAAAGGTGTATGTATGTGTAATTTATTAATTTTTCTTTATTCATCTTCTTGCAGATCTTTTTGAGTCATACTAAAAAAAAAGATTTTCTAATATCATCTGACTTTTATTTCAGTTATGCGTTAAATGTAGAACTGAAATGCAACTTTTTAAAAATATCTGCACAGCTATAGAACACGATTTTTATGTCACAGTCGGTAATGCTTAGCTAAAGTAATTGACAGTCGTTTGGCAAAAGATTAAAAGACTTCATTCAAGATGACGTCAAATATTTGATGTTGCATTTTTACTTACTGTACTGGTGGATATTTTACTTATGATCGGCCCATACTTATGTCATATGTTAGAATCTATGAACAATGGTAAAATCATAGGTCTAATATATACTATTAGATCGACATTCAGAAAGACATAAGAAGTGTGTTAATCAGAAAATATGCCTCCTCAGAAAATATTACTTTCTGTTAGAGTTTACCTTTCAAAAATGCTTCGAATCTGATTTACACTAAATCTGCTAAATTGATGTTTTGACTGTATATGTTTCTAATATTTAATATTTTCTTTTAAATATGTACAGTATGGACTAAATATCTATAACAACAAACGTAATTAAGAAAATTTAATTCACATTAATTATATGTTTTAAATGTTATTATCTTGTCTGATATTTTATTTACACAATATTTACTTCAATTAATTAGATTTTTAATTTTACTTTGTTTTCATGCTTTGAAAGCTAAGAATTTTTAAACATTTAAAGGTATATCTTCTTTAATGCTGGAGTATAATGTATTATTCGACTATCAAAATATTTATAAAATTTTACAATTGATGAATTTTCTTTTTAATTAAAAATATATATTGCTTTTTTAGTTTTATTTGAAAGTAACTACAAAACAACATATCTTAACATTTGTTTATTGCTCGCAGGTATCTACTAAGCAATGGGTCTCGACCACTTTTTTATAGTAAGCCACAGAAGTTTTGGGCGTCCTAGTCCTATTAATGTCGTCAAAATCTACATGGAAGAGCCCGAATTTTTGCCTGAAAAAAGAGAAATGAGTTATATTGCGTAAAATTATTTATATACTTATTGCTTATTTCAGAAATTAAAATAGTTTAAATTAATAAATTTTAATTTTATACAGTTGTTTTATAAAAAAGTGGTATTTTGTTCTAAAAATTTGACATAAATACTGAGAAATGTAAAATTTTAAATAAATCAATAATACCAAATTATAAACATTACAGTTTTGAGTGTATTGATAAAAATATTCGAAGGTAGGTAAATTTAGGGTGTTTTTAACTACAAATTATCTCTGTAATATTCACATGTAGTAGACACTATGTAATTTTGAAGTATGTATTATTTTGTAATTGTTATGTTTCAAGCAACTTACGTGTAACCCTGTCCCCATTCGAAGTTATCCATAAGACTCCATGCAGTGTAGCCAATTACATTCACTCCATCTTCCATAGCACTTCTTACATTGCTGAGATAATCCTGCAATTGATTAATGTCGATAAAATAAATTCAAAGCGATCATTGAAATAAGATAAAATTATACCGCTCCTTTCCAAACAAACATGAAATATTTGGTTTGATACACTTTAGAGAATCCGATGCAAATGTTACATTTTTGAAGTTAGTTTGGAAGGGATCAGTCTAATATCGTAAAATGTATGAAAATCAGGCAAAATACCGATTTTCAACGATTTAGTATTGTATGTAAGTAAATATATTACCCTGTAGTAACGAACTCTCTGATCATCTTCTAAGGTGGAACCGTCATCTGCGATACCGTTTTCTGTAATTATAATTGCTGGATTGTTATATGTCTCCTTTAACCAGTTTAGAAGTTTTCGTATTCCCCATGGGGTAACCTAGATTTATAAAGAAAAATATCTGATTAGAATTACGTTAGATAAAAGAAAATATTAATAAAAGTTAAGTAATTATTATTTATGCTTCAAATGAGAAATCTACCTACTATACAGTGCATTGTAATAACAAAATGAATTGGCTGTTAATTATATCCACTCCGACATAATGTACCAAAATAATTAGTTTACTGTTTAATTTTTGTGAACCATTATTATTAAAGAAAGAAATACCTTCAACCAAGAAATGGAGCACGACTCCCAATCATCTGACTGGTAGCTTTTAACACCCAAATCATAATCGTAATTTGGTTCTCCGATTGGTACTTCATCCACAGCTTCTACTAGACCCGAAGTATACATATTGACACCCATGAAATCGAAAGTGCCGCTAATGTAAGTGATTTCTTTGTCGGTGAATGCTGGAAGACGGGACTGGTTAAAGCCTTCAGCTAAACTACGTTCTGCAATGCGAGTCTTCATTATTTCTGGGTAGTCGCTGTTGTAAATAGCATTTGCGTACCATCCATACTAAAAAGATATATCGATTAATATATACGGCAGATATTTAAAACGTTTATTTTGATAAAAGGGAATTAGCCACTGAGCGACCATGCAGATTATTTAAAGGATTGTTGACTTAAATAAGAGGACTTGACCCATTCCGCAAGTACACTTGAGGTATTAAAATTAGTACATAACTATGAACAGTAGCCAATTAAAATAAATAGAAATAAAAAAATGTTTACATTGGATATACAATTTTTCATTATTTGAGATCACTAATATTCAATTCTTTGAATAAAACTATGTGGCTAAACTTATTTCTATTAAAACTCATTTTTTTAAATCCATTTTGAACATGCATTTTTTGTAGATAAAATGGTCAGACGACCAACTGCGTTCCAAAAATTGCAATCATAATTACTCCTTTTTCTCCTCATTATACACCTAAGTACAAGCATACTTTACGGTTTAAAATAAATAAAATAGTGAATTCTTAAAACTTTTCAAAGGGTTGGAGGAACTTCCTCAAATGAACTACTTTCTTCAAAACAGCGGGATAATCTGCCAATAGATCTAATCTAAGATAGATCTAATGATTAAAATTATTTGCTTTATATTTGCATTGACTCGATTTGGCAGATTAAATCCAATAAAAAGTTTCGCTTGTGTGGCCATCTACTTTTTATAAGTCTGGGCTAAAATGCTGGGCTGAAACACTGAAAACCTTTGTTTTTATAAAACTCTTTGGACAAACGTAGTTCAAGTAAATTAAGATCCCCTAACAATCAAAAACATAATAATTTAGAGATTCATTTTTAATATACCTTAATAAAAATTAGTAATTATTATGACATGGTTCGGATATGGTATACGATGAAGGTGGAAAGAATATATCCGAATCGTTTTCCATTTCGCCACGCACCAAGTGCTTCAGGATTTAAAACACTCGAATCCCTTCAAGGACGTGATGGAAATTGCAATTGTCCTTTACGTATGCCGAGGAAAAAATTATAAATTAGATGGAATTTGATATATTTAAGTACCGGTGTAGGTAAATGCTAGACAATTGCGTAACACGGTTGTTTGGTATGCACCTGGAGAAGAACATATGTACCTGTATCATAAACAAATAGTCCATTCTCTGCTACAACAAGATCAACAATTGCATGTAGACTTTTGCAACTGGTTGCCAGCAAAAACACCAAGACCTGCTACAAGTTTATAGTAACACGAAGCCATTTTTATCCACAGTGGAATTTTTTATTTCCAAAATTGGTGTATTCTCATATTGTGGGTTGTACAAATTTTCATCGTCGATTCTCCCCATTAATGTTTTGACTGGCATTGTGAATAATTTTTTAATACGACCTTTTGTGTTATCAAACTCGTATTTGAACTTTTTAGTTCCTTTTGATGGGGAAATGACATTTTTACAAGATGGGGTTCAACCTCATTATTCTGGTACTGTACAGGATTATTTATATAATTTTAATTAATTAATGGGTTGTTTTCCCAACTTAAAAATTTCAGAGTCTTTTTTTAGAAAATATTTAAAAAAAGATCCTGGGCTGAGATGTCAATAATGGTGAAGAATTATTACTCTCGACTGCATTACGAACAACGCCAGGACGTTTTTGTAAATGTGTATAATTCTTCAATTCGGTGTATTCCATCCAGATTCCATCCAATGTGTTTGTACTGTTTTTGATGAATATAATATTGTTTTTTTTTTAAGTCATGACTTAATGATAAAATTGTCCTCAAAAAAGGAATTATAAAATTTCTAATTTGTATATTCATGTAATTACTTGTACTTACAGTGAATTGTAATGCTCTCTCAGCAGCAGCGGCGTCTTCTTCACTGTCGGTAGCAGGTTCAAACCAGCTAGTATCAATAGTGATTGATACTTGTCCTGAAAATAATTATTTTATTTTAAAAATAATGAATCTATTAATAACAAAAAGAAATAATATAAGATAAGGTAAAGTAAGGTAAGGTAAGGTAAGGTAAGGTAAGGTAAGGTAAGGTAAAGTAAGATAAGATAAGGTAATGTAAAAACTACTGAAGGAAAATTAAAGCCTATAAATTCATTGTTTTCATGACTCGTCCATACCTTTTGAAACAACTACAATTTCCTTCAGAGAACAAACTAATAAATATATAAATATTTGAATGCTCCAATATAAAAAAATATTGAAATAAATTAAATATTCTATCTTAATGTAATTAAGTATTATATACCATTCTGTGTAGCTCTAAATTCTTGGTCATATATATGCCAAGCCCTAGCATGGGCCTTGAGTACATGATGAGTACATATATATTCTCCTAATCCTGGCGATGCAATTCTTGGAGCAGCAGATCCTTGACCATAACCTCCTAGACAAGTTTGCTTGGGTTCGTTAAATGTTAGCCAGTATTTCACATCGTCTCCTAAGAGTTCGAAACATAGCTTCGCGTATTCTGCGAAAGCTTCCACTATGAACTCACTTGTCCATCCCCCTAAGTCCTGTAAGGGTTGCGGCAGGTCCCAGTGATATAAGGTGATCAGGGGCTCGATGTCGTTGTCTTTTAGTTCTTTGATTAGGTTCTTGTAGTACGTCACTCCGGGAAGATTAATTTTATTTACAAACCCTAAAAATTACATTATTAAATGAGAATAAGATACTTATACCAAATAAAATTAAGTCTCTAATAAGGTCATACCCTCCATTTTTGAAACGAAAGTTGTAATAATAAAATTTGTAGAGCAACCTTTAATAGTTATAAGTTAATAACTTCTACTTCTCACAATCATATAGTTTTATTACTAAAATGTTAAAATAAATAATGATAAATTAATTGAGGAAAACGACGCTAAAGACAATTAATTATCAAAACAAAATGCGTTTATCAAAGAACTGACCTTAGTGGGACATATATATATATATATATATACTAGACAGCAACCACAGAAGATATAGAAAAATAAATGAGGACGGTATTTCATTTGATCTGTAATAAACTAACGTAATTGCTAAAGTATAAAACATACCTGTAGGAAGTATCCTTGACCAGGATAGAGAAAATCGATAAAAATCAACGCCTAATTCTTTCAACATAGCCACGTCTTCTTTGTACTTGTGATAGGAATCACAAGCTACATCACCAGTGTCATTATTAACAACTAATTCAGGGTGAGAGTGCGTATAACGATCCCAAATATTTTCCCCTTTGCCATCTTCATCCCATGCACCTAGAATAACGGATTCAATTTTGTAAGTAGATAAATACCTGAAAAGATTATTGGGATGTTCTTTCTCCATTTTCATATAAAAATAGACAATAATCTGTTAACATCTCTCTTAACAGTTTGTTTTTATTTACCTTTTAGAAAGTCGTAAAAAATTATATTATGACAAAGTAAGTAATCAATTGCCAATTTACTCTTAATAAAACTTTCCTTACAATTTAATCAATTTTCATTAATGTTTAAACGCCTCCAATGTTTACTTCTGGATACGATTCACGCTAGAAAGCACTGAAAGTGTGTGTATACTTGAGCATCCATTGTGAATACTATCCAAAATTTTTTAATGAGAGCGTCCTGACCACCTAATTTGTAATCTTTTTTTAGTTTCAATAAGGGTTTGAAATAAAACAGCTTGGCAATTAAATAAAATTGTTTCAGATATGTTTCCAACACGGTGTTTCAAAATAGGTGTTGCTAAAATTGAGGAGGATATAGAGGACACTGGGGTAGAAAATTTTTGCATATAAACCACTAGTCGGAAATGAGCCGTTTTGGCTCTGGAGTAATTTTAGTCAGAAAACGTAATGTTATCTTGTTGACACCAAAAGCCAATTTTTATTAAAGATAACTCAAAAAATGATTGGAAACAAAATAAACACGTTTATCTCTTCTGATAAGTGTTTACCAACTACATGTCCTACACACAGAAATTGTTTTTATCCNAAAAACATTTTTTCGCCAAGTTACATAACCTTGAAAAAAGCAAAAATACGTGCTTTTTGCACTTTTAGGTTAGAATATCTCGGAAACCTAGGGTGATGGATCAATTCTGAGGCCAGATTCGGATTCAGCGCGCCAAATGCCATCGGAAACGTAGTGTCTGATCTCTGGAATTTTTTCCTTGTTGGCCTGTGTAATCATCAAATGTTTTATTTCACTTTCCATAAGGTCTAAATAGCCATGTATTATTTTTAATTATTTCGTTTTGCTATTATACCAAAATTGTAAAATTACTATTAATATTTATGTAGAACATGTTTAATTTCCAGTAATTTTCTCTTTTTATATATTTAAACGTTTTAAAGATTTTAGTTCAAAATATATTTGAATCTCATGGTATTGAATTTTTAAAGGAGCCCTGATAAGCATAGTGTATAATAACATTTTAATGCTTGTAAGAACTATAATTTAAATAAAAATTGTTCATCAGGAGATAGTTAGAAGATATATAATTCTAAATACATTTGTATTATTTTTCATTTTTTGTAGTTAACTAATCTTATAACAATAAAACTTACCCTCTACTTGATAGGAAGCTGTGGCTGCACCAAACAGGAAGTCTTCAGGAAAAAGCTTATTATTAGTCTCATCTTGTGCTATGCTAAAAAAAAATGTTCACAAATCAAATTGATCGGTGATTATCACTGGCTTGGGCTCCCAAACCACGTTTGAATATTCATTACTACTCCACTTTTTGAATAGTTTTTAATTACTCTACTTGTAAGCAGACGGTGTTTCAATGTGAGAATTTTAGATACACGAATTATATTTTTAATTCAGCTGGTTGTGGTTTATTTACTGACAAAGCAGTAGGGCTTTAAAATGATGTCTGTTATGAGACTGGTTTAACAGATAATTTTTTATTGAAATAATTAAAAGTTTACTATGTAAGAGGATGTATTTTGCGAACTCACCTAATAGCAAACAAACAGCAAAATATAAAACCTCTGAGAGACATGTTTGATGCTATTAAATGTTTCAGATTGTGGTCTATATATATGTGTGTTCATATTAATTTATTACAAATAAAATTTTACAAGTGCTCTCAGTTTCAAGTAGCTTTCATACATAAAATGATAAATTATTCTTAATTCCTTAAAAGTGTAAAAATGTAAGTATCTGAATTATTTACAATAGCATTGACAAAATAGGATTATTGTATTTGTGACATATTTATAAGTACTGAAATCAATTGAATTGAATTCATTATCAAAACACTAGGCTAACGAGTTAATTATAGAGTAAGGACAATAAATGGAGAGTAAGTTTAGCAAAGTGATGGAAAATAATGTTTGTTCTAACACTTAATTTATAAAATTTAAATAGCTGACGAGGTGTTGTTTTAAGCAAAAAAATTTTTGTATTATACAGAAAATTATACATACCGTTCAGTTTCATTTTTATAAGTGGTTTTTGAGTAATATCTCTAAAGGTAATCGAATATATAATAAAATTTATTACATACAATAAAGCAAACACTATTTCTAGTTCATATTTCGGTTTTAATCTTCTTGAATAAATGCATTGTTATTGATATTACTCTATTTTAAAGAGAATTAGAAATGCTTTGTTGGTGATATTATTTTAGGTATGTTATAAAAAAATATCTTAATTGCTAATTTTATTGGAAAACTTTAATGGACATCTTTCAAATGGTATTGGCTAAAGAACAATGTTAAAAAATGGGCATTTTCTGCATATCCGGGGGAAAGTGTGCAGTGTTTCTTTTTTTACTAATTTCGGGGTGCTGAATACAAATCCGTCATTCTTATCGGCCAAAAAAATCGGGAATATAGTGAAAACTCCCCTTTTTGGGGGTGTATTGGAGTTGACATTGTAATTTGCAACTACAAGTGGTTCTAGGAGCGGTTAATTTTTGTACGACTTTATACTTTACGAACACTATACTTTGATAGCTAAGCAGAAAAATGACCTGAATGAAAACCACCCCCAAAAAGGGGTGTTTTTACTGTATTCCCGGCAGTATTACGCAATAAGGGCGACGGATTCGCACTCAGAACATAAAAATTAATCAAATAAAATTCACATTGCATACTTTCCCCTGGATAACCCAAAAAATAACTGCGTAGCAATTATATTGAAATAATTCCTTCTTAGGGGTTTTGTGGATTGGTGTTTTTGTGTAATTTTTCTGCTTAGCTGTCAAAGTACATTGTTAAAGACGTACAAAAATTAACCGCCTATAATACCACTCCTAATACACCCTCAAAAGGGGGAGTTTTCACTGTGTTCCCGACATTTTTGGCCGGTAAGAATATCGGATTCGTATTCTGCACCCCAAAATGAGTAAAAAAGAAGCATAGCACACTTTCCTCCAGATGGGCGGAAAATGCCCATTTTTTAACATTGTTCTTTAACATATTAATAACTACGTATACAAAGATGCTCTAAAATATGTAATATTTTTAATACAACTTGACGTTAATTTCAAGTTTTCTTTACAAACGTAATCACAAAACATATTCTTCTAAGTGATAGCTAAAATATTTTGTAATTGAGATATATCTAATATCTAAAATGAAAACATTTTACTTGTGAGGGGCTCGTAATGTAGTAATAACGATAACGTTATCTTGTTTAGAAAATCATCAATGTTTTCCATAATATTATCTAATACCACGTTGGTATTTCAATTAAAATTGCGAAAAATTACTTGTCGAAATCATTCCATAAATATTTGTTCAAACCTTATTAGATATTATCTGGGAAATATAAATTGGATGGTGACGGTAAATGTAAAAGCAGGTTAAATTGTTGTGAAAAAGTTTATTTAACTGTTAAATTTAAAAAAATTTAGGATATAACAATAAAAGATTATTGCTACATGCAAGGTATTCACCTTGTATAAGACAAATATCGATCAGGTTATTATTCTTGACAAGACTCCACTAAGCAATGTGTTTCGACAACTTTCTTATAGTAAGCAACAGAATCCTTTGGTACTCTTGTGCGATTGGGGTTGCTGAAGTCCACATGGTAGATGCCGAATTTTTGACTACAAGTTAAAGTATTTAAATTTATGTGGTTTAGTTAACAATTTATGTAGGATGTTTCTAAAGGTCTGAACAACATATGCCTGAGCATAGGCGTCGACTTTTAAAACTTTTGTCGGGTGCTCGGTTGTCTTATAAGCATTTTTTTTTGCCAGATTACATTAAAAAGCAAGAGAAATGAGTCATTTGAAATAGCATGAGGTAAAAGATTTTAAATACGTATTTCTCCGAATTAGATTTTACGAAAAACTTTTTAAAAAATATATCGAAATTAATTAAACGTCAAAATAAATAAACTTTATTACTGTTTCGATACAAATTTCAAAAATTGAACAATCTTAATAATCTTAACAAAAAATAAACTTCTATGGAATAACAAGTGAAAATATAAATATATGTACTATGTAGACGTAAAAGTAGGTAGCACAGAAATATACTATTCTAACAAAACTGATAATAATTCTTGCGGGTGCTCCGCACCCGACAAAAGTATTTGCCCCGGAGCACCCGAGAAGTTGGCACCTATGTGCCTAAGGCAAAAATATGTTGATCTAATCCAAGTTAGTCAGTGTCCGAAATACAGGGTGTTGAAGTTACAATTTTATTTTAGCTTTTATTACAATAACAATACAGAAAACTTCGTATACAGGAGTTTTCTGACACGAGAAACTGAAATCTGGTATCGAATTATAGGTACCACCGTTAGATGCATTTAAATTGTTGTAACTTTTTATGCCCTGATGTAGCGACTGAATTTTTAATTTCTTAATATTCTCATTCTCCGACATTTTTTCTAAAAGAAGGCATACTTGGTAAATGTAGTTTTGAAGAATCGTTTTTTTGGATATCTAGATTTAAAAGTTTCATTTCATTAACTACGTCATTGCCTTCATATCCATTTTTATCCAGGCTTTGTAAAATTTTTTTGGAATCCTCATTGTTTTTAGGTCGTTGGCTTCCATATTACTGTCGTTGTTGACCCGCTGGTTAAGTGGAAAGGAAGGCAATGGCGAGTATTTGAAATGAAATTTTTATATCCAGATATCCAAACAACGGTTGTCCAAAATAACATTTACCAAGTATACCTTTTTTTTTAGAAAAACATCGGAGAATAAGAATTTTTGATCAAAAACATACACCAGAGTGTAAAATAAAAATTTGTACGTAAAGTACAGTAGGCGGTGCCCTTTAGTAATTTACAGCAAATTTGAGACCAAATTTCATGCCAGGAAACTCCCTTATACGAAGTTTTCTCTATCTACTACGATTAATAATAAAGCTATTGAAGAAAAACTAATATTGACTTGTAACTTCAATACTTCTTAGACACTATCAAATTTTGTTCAGACCTTTTAGAGGCACCTTCTATATGTATTCAAAGTAATTGTAAAGACTTTTAAATGAACAATAGATAGAATTTAAAATCTATTCAGTGTAGCATTATATACAGTTTGTTTTTAAAATACACGTACAACAATTTTCATCATGAAACAATGTATTTCATATAACATTAAAACGGTTTGTGCTATATATAAACTTTTAGTGCAATCCACCAGTAGAATAATGTAAAAATATGACATGCGTACTTTTCCGTAGATTTACATTTGCGTATTTTTCCGTAGATTTAGATTTCAAAATATTTTTGTCTTTTGTGATATCGACTATGGATTTCGGGTATACAGATAAATATACTGAAATCCAGGGGGTTCGAGAATTTTCTTTTTATATTTGAAGAAGTCATTCTATACATAAAATAAGAAAGGTTGGTAATATGATAAATAACAGTTTATTTGTTATGACATCTGCCTACTTTATTATCACAAATTTTCGCAATTACCCCTTTTAGTGAAGGATGACGCATCTAATTTTTTTAGTAGAAAACTATCGGTTTTATCGAAAAATAGTAAGAGGTAGAAATGTTGCGCAATAAATCAGTCTTCCTAAAATATTTTTAAATAAATAATTTGCTTCATAAAAAAAATATTTCTAATAAAATATTGCAATGGGGTTAACTGTTTCACAAATACGCCAATGATCGAATAAATATTGAAAAGCTGTCTCTTTATTAGTAGGATGCTTATACCAAGTTTCGTGTCTCTAGCATTCCTCATGTTAAAGGAAAAAATTAAAATGTGAATTTCAATCCCCTCCTTTAAGAGGATATATCGCCTCAGGGGTGCAACTTTCATATCAGGTATTTTTACTTTAATCCTCTTATTTTTGGCTCTACATTCACTGGTATCATTTTTGCTACTTCACATCCTGTATAAAAAAGTTATGGATTGGTCAATGGTTGGAGACTCAAAAATACAAGCGAGTCATTTTCTTACTATTCTGGTAATACATTACAATCAAATAAATCAAAATGTATACCAGCTAAGAAGTCTTTAACTCATGCCATTTCAAAGGATATGAGATAATATTGTATCGCGGACTATAATCCAGCATGCGTTAGCTTTTTTATTTTGATCCATCTTTGATCTTTCATTGGTCACGTATTTTATGACAACCATGTCTCTCATCTGCTATTGAAAAATAAATCTGCCACAGGAGTGCAGCGAAACTGGAACCAGTGGATAACTCTTTTCGAAGACATAAATTCTGCTGTGCAGACGCCTCTGTTCGCTGTATTTAACTTAAAAATGTGTATTCTTACTTATATCCTTCCGAAAATTCGAAGTTATCCAAAAGGCTCCAATCCGTGTAGCCAATTATTTTGACCCCGTCTTCCATGGCACTTCTTATGTTGCTGAGATAATCCTAAAATTAAGGGCATTAATGTATGTATGTATATTTATGTATGTTTGGGATACTATGAAACACATTTTTATGGTTAGCCTGTTGTCTTTGAACTGTTTAATATAAACAATTTCTTTTTGTACCTACTAATCATTTCTATCGCATAGATCAATTTTCTATAAATATAATTAATTTTCTTAAATTACTTCAGATTACATACTTTTTAATT